AGTATGGTTGCCCAGGCAGGTCGATGTTAGAAGGTCACGGGCTTATAAGAAGTTTTTGTGGAGTCAAAGGGGGAAGGGAGGGGCGGCTTTACTAGCCTTGGACTGGCGGGCCGCCTATGATAGAGTGGAAAGGGGTGCACTGCAGAGTATTCTTCGAGACAGGGTTATGGAGAAGAAATAGTTTGGGTGGGTAAACACGCTGTATAAGGGGGCAAAGATGAGGGTACAAATAAATGGGTGTATGGGGACGGACTTTGAGATGGGTAGAGGTTTAAGACAAGGTGCCCTATGTCACAGATCTTATTTGCGTGTTTTCAGGATCCCTTTTACAGGATGGTTGAGAGCACAGTTATTTCCCCGGGGGGTGGGGGTGGGGTAGGGGAAGGGGATTGTTGGCCGGCATTAAAGGTTATGTGGATGATACGACTGTTTTGGTGTTGAACGATGTCTATGCAAGGGTTGGAAGATGTTTGTGCATGTGTTTGAATGTGCCACGGGTATGGGGTAAATAGTGAAAAGTCGGTGATCATGGGGTTGGGTACCGGGAAAAGGGGGGTGGAATGGCGAGCATAACGTGGTTAACACAACTGCGATGTCATTAAAGATTTGCGGTATTATTTATAAGACGATTGGATGTGGCGCGGGAGGAAAATTCAGTAAGACATTGGAAAAGGTCATTGGTCGTCTGGGTGTTTTGAGGCCCCAACATCTCACTCTGGCCCAACGTGTGAATCGTTTGTTAACGTTTTATTGTATAGTAAGGTGTGGCACGTTGCGGCTGTATTCCCAATTACAGGAACAGCGATCAATGGAATATTGAGAAGAGTATTACCTTTCTGTGGGGATCGAGGGGTGATTGGTTAAAACGTGAGGTTGTTATGTTACCTGTACGTCGAGGAGGTTTGGGATTTTTGGACTTAAAGCGTAGGGTGAAATGTGTTTTTCTAAAGTGGGAGGTTTGGCGTGTGGGTGTGGGTGGCGGGGAAAAATGAACCAAGTATATACGAGGGAAAAAGTGGTATAGGGGAATGGAGTTAAGGAATGTAGATTGTACTACGAGCTTTGTTGATGGGACAGGAATGGAGGAACATTCGCATAAGGGTTTTAAGTAGGTTACTTGGGGTACGTGCGCAGCTCCAGTAGAAGGTTTGTTCCCCAGTACTCGTGGGAAAATATATGGTTCCGATTTAGTAAGTTGAAATTACAGCCTGGGTGCGTGAAGTCATGTTTCGTTTTTTACATGGTATATTTTCCGTCAGGGGCAATACTACAAAACCAGAAGAGTCGTGGAGGGAGGCGGGTGTGGGTTTTGTGGTGGGGAAACACGGCTTTTCCACGTTGTCTATTTTTTGCGAAGGTTTAGAAAAATGTCAGGAGTTGGTTGGGTAGGGGGGTACAGAGGGTGGGAGGAGAGGAGTGCAGGTCCTGTGTGCGTTAAGTCTCGACATCGGTGGATTAGACCAGGACGTTGAACGGGCTTTAGATTATATTATCGTGGATTACATTTATATTTCGGGGTAATGGGGGAAAGGGGTCAGTGAGGTGCGAAGGCGTGTCCTTGCAATAACGTTTTATCGTACAATGTGTAGGAATAGGGAATTGTATGGGAGGAGGTGGGATAAGGGTTTTTCAGACGGTTATAAAAGGCTCACTCTTGAAACCCTTGTGAATCTGTGATAAATATACAGGCATGCCGGATAAGTTGTGTAGGTCAGTGGGCAATAGCTGGCTTGTCTCTTCGGGAACGGGTGAGTTGCGTGAATATGAGTTTGGGCATGAATGTATTTTAGTTGTTATGAATGTGTGTAGATTCAGGGGTTAGGGTTACTTATTTGTACCTTTTGTGTACAAAATGACTGGGGTGCCTTTACATATTTGTTATGTTTTTGATGCTTTTTCCCTTTGGGGTTTAAGCTCGTTGTATTCTTGATTCACTAGTTTTCTTAGTTTTGTTTTTGATTGTGTTATGGAGGTTCAGATATTTGGGTATATAAACATGCATATATATATATATATACATGTTTTATCCCTTCCCTGTTACTGTTCAATCTAGTCTGTGAGTCACCAATTGTATCCTATAAATATTTAGCAACATTATGATTTTTGTTTGTGATTCAAACGTATTTCATAGGTATCAAGATTGAAAAACATATAGAAGGATGAAATTGCTGATGATTAATATGATCGTCAATTTAAAATAAAAATTATTATGTTTTAAAGAAAATTTTTTTTTAGAGTAAATCATTGAATTTGTGTCTAAGTTGGAATTTCTTAAAAATCAATTGTATATTTTTTTATGCAAATTACATAAACTATTGTTTAATCATCAATGTAACATGTTTGTATGATGTGCATGTAGGTTATAATGGGTTAAGTGGGGTTTCCACCAGTGTTATATTTTTTTACGCAAACAGTTATATCTTTTGGTATTGTGTGTGTTTAGTGAAAAGTACTTATGCATTTATGGTGTGTTGCGATATATCATACGTATTTTGGGAAAATTTTAAGGGTGATTACCTTTGTACCTCAACATTACATGCTTACAAGTAAAACTCATGGGAGACAAACCCTATT